AAAATCAAAATTTTAGGTTTGGGATAGGGTCAGGGTTTTGAGGTCCTGGCGGCACACCCCTACCCAAGTTGGGGTGGTAGTACCCCCCCCCCCCCAGGCTTCTCACCAATGTGTAGCTCATGCCTACAGTCACAGGTTCAATTCCTGACTGAGCCATATATGTGAGTTGAGGGTTGTGGGTTGTAAAATAATATAAAATGTAGTGGTAGTGCATGTGGAGGGAACCTCACGAAAGAGCCCCATACGAGGAGTGATGTTTGTAAAAATTTTTTATACAGTGTGTTAATGCGATAGTAGCAGCAATTTTTATAAATTTCAAATAATAAAAGCAAATAGCATAAATAAATTGTTAAGATATACTTTACTAAATAAAATGAATTCCACTTCCCAGCTTCACTACACTGGAATTCTATGAGCTTCAGTCATAGTTGTGTATTTTTACTAATAAATATTAATGATCCTTCAGATCTCTTTAAAAATACCAATTCTCAAGCTGTTCAAGAGAAAGAAAGAGAAAAACGTGAGAAAGAAAAAAAGGAAAGTGAACAGAAAAAACAGCAAATCAAGGACGCCAAAGAAAAACAGAAGCAAAAAAATGACGACAGAAAAGAGAAAGAGAAAAAGAGGACTCAAAAAGGAGAAAGACGAAGATGACAGGATCAGTAAAGTAATTATTAATAAATAACAAAGTATAAAACTAGGGATGCTTTACTGCTTTATCGAAGGAAGTGAAGTCTGGCAGATCTGAGTAGTCTTAGGGTGCTTACCATTTACCAGGAAAAACCAGAAATTCCAGTTGGAAAACAAATGGCATGCGTCATTCTGATAGGGATTTTTGTTCGACTTTATGAGTTTCTTTAATAGCACCGAAACTACAAAATATGACAAATCAATGTGTCTTTTTGTCTTTTTGTCGAAAATATCCATGTATTATTGTAGAATGACTGACTAGCCTTCGTTCGTGCAATCATATAGTCTGCAAATAACTATTATCTTATTAATCTTAATTTTTTTCTAATCACTTCAAATCTGGAAAGAAAAATAGGGTGTCCCGAGCTCGTTTTCGAGATAATCAGCATTTAATGGAAGCCTACGCACGAGCTTTTGAAGTAAAAATTGCGCTACCGGAAGTGATTAGAAAAAAATTAAGATTAATAAGATAATAGTTATTTGCAGACTATATGATTGCACGAACGAAGGCTAGTCAATCCTTCTACAATAGTACATGGATATTTTCGACAAAAAGACAGAGAGATACATTGATTTGTCATATTTTGTAGTTTCAGTGCTCTTAAAAAATCACATAAAGTCGCGAACAAATAACCCTACAAAAATCTATTTTTTTACGTGTTCCTGATTTAAACTTTTCCTAAAATGTTGATATAACCTAGATTTATAGGAGTTTTTTCGAATGAGCTATCAAAAAATACAGAGTCCCGTGCAAAATTTGAGGGTTTTGCCCTGTTGAAGCTCAAAACGCGTATGGTTCTTCAATAAAATCTTGTAGATTTTTCAGCGGTTTTTGAGCGCGCGCACGTTGGGCTCAAATCGAACGTTTAAAAGTAGGCAGCCACCTTAAGGTAATCCACTTTTCCCGCTCTTTTCGGTACTTCCGGTAGACGCGCGTACCATATTTCGAAAGTCAAAGTTTCCCGCTCTTTTCTTACCATTAGCGAATGAATTTCCAACCGGATGGATTGGTTTAAATGGTAAGCATCCTTAGTTTAAGTACAAAATAAAAAGAAATGAACCCCCTTTGAAATCTGCTCCAAAAAAATTCTAGTTCCCATCCAATTCATCCCTAATTTTAAGATATGCTCCTCCGTCCTGGATGTGGAATTTTGAAGTTTACAGTGCTGAGTTACTCTGGGTATTTCTCTTGGGTCAGTGTTGAATTATTTTTGAGACCATCCTATTTACATTTATGAAAATTTATTTTTTTGTGCATGATATGTGTGTCATGTTTGCACCAATCAAAACAATGGAAAATACACACTGTTCAAGCCGATTGCTCGAATGGACAAGCCATTTGAGTGTCTGATTGTGAAAGCCATTTAAGTGCAAGAAAGCCATTTAAATGCTTTTGAAAGTAGGACATTTTTGTGGCAGAATGAGAAGGCATAATAATTAAACCTTTATCACATTAGCAAGACATTTTGAAAAATTGGTCTTAGGGATTGTTTTGTTTTTTGTTTTTTTTTTGTCAGTTAGAATTCGCTTGCTGTCCCATATCATAAATCTGACCCCCTCTCGTTTAAAAAATGGCCCATCGTTCCTTTCTGGTCTGTGCAGCTCGGATTCTTTCGAATTTTTTTCTTGAATTTTTTGATGACCCCCCCTCCCTTCAAATCATACCACCCCTCACCCCTTCCCCGGTAAAAAAAGGTTCCCTCATTAGAAAATAATAAGTTGACATTTAAATTTGTCATTTCGATATTCTCAAAATTGAGAGGTTTTGTAGAGATTGCTCCTAATCTAGCGAGTTATCGAAATCATTAATTCTATTTTCTCAAAACAGATATTTAAAAATGTCACGCTAATGTGTTGAAGGATTATCTTAAAGTCCAGACAAAAAAACTAATAGAGTGTGTGCAACTAACCATCTGACTCAAAATCCCTTGAGATATAAATAACAATGAAACAGCCGCCATGTTGGTTGATCTAACAAGAGAAGCTAATGAGGAATGCTTTGTTATCGTCAACCAAGATGGCGGTTATGACGTAATAGTTCCCTTGATAGTTCCCTGCGCCATCTTGAAAGTTAACCGAGCCTGTACATCGAAACAAGGACCTTGCATTAGTAGGGACTTTTTTTAACACCTTAGGCAATAAACCAATTTCCAATTTTACGCTAAAGTAAAGACTGCACAAGTTCAACAATACGAACACTTTGAAACTTGACGGACCTTGACTGGAACACGTGAATATTCTATGCAAAATCGAGGCTAACCCTGTGTAAATGAAATGACTCTGTAATCAAGAAACACAGCGTTATTCTTATGATTTCAAGATGGCTGACAAGGAACCTTGAAGGGGACTATTGATTTGAATAGCCTGAAAGACAATTAAAGTTAATTAAGTTTGTTGTTATACCTATGTAGCAAGAGAATATGTTTTCTGGGGTAGCTACATGTAAGAGAATATTCTCATGTAGTTACCCCAGGAAACATTTCGGAATTAGTTGTAGAAAGTTTGCAAATTTTGCACAACTTGAGTTGCAGAAATAATATAATACAAGATGATATGGAGATGATGATATTAATATTTGCATTCTATTGGGTACATTTCATTATTGATTACACTACTTGTGCCCTGACTAAGATTTGGCAATAGACCGTTTTCTCAAGGTTGCATGCGCATCCAAATTTAAGGAACTTGACGGGCCACGATACCAGAACACGAGTATTATCATGCATTGCTATGAAAAAATATTCGATATGAATTCATAAAATCGATTATTCTCCTCTTTTACTATAAAACTGTCTTCTCAATTGTAATGAATTTGCGTTTTTCAGTTTTGTGGCCCGTCAAGATTAGATGTGCACGTAACTCGAGAAAACGGTCTATAGACCTTTTGCACCATCATGTGACATTGGCTCTGAATCAGAGGATGTAAAGTCTTAGACTCTTCCACAGTCTCTCGTTCGTCCGTTCCGTCTCCACGCTTAGAGACTGTAACGGTACAATGACCGAAAGGACTTATGGGTCCCGAAAACTTGGACCCGGCGTGCTTTGGGAACCAAAATACTCGTCCACAGTCTCTCTTGTTTCAATATTTTCAAGATGGCGGCGAAAACAAGAGGGACTGTAGACGAGTATTTTGGTTCCCAACGCAAGCCGGGTCCAAGTTTTCGGGACCCATAAGTCCTTTCGGATATTGTACCGTTACAGTCTCTAGGCGTGGAGACGGAACGGACGAGAGAGAGACTGTGGAAGAGTCTAGTAAGGTCTTGGATATTTTAAAATATGTTTATATTTCTCTCAAGTTCCAATCCCCATCTCCTTCTCTCTGTGACCAATGCTCACAAGTGTGATCCCCAATTGCTTGCATTTTTCGTACATTTCTTTCTCTGTTTGTGTATCCATTGCACTGGTAGCTTCATCAATTATAGCAATGACAGGCTTATGGTAGAACAGACGAGCAAACGCCAGCCTTTGCATCTCACCTGGGGTTAACATATCTTCCCAGTTGCCTTCGAAATTCTCGTAAAGCCCTCCTACGCGACGGCACACGGCAGTAAGACCAACATCTTCAAGAATGCTCAGAATTTTCTCATCCTCCATCTGACATTTCTCTGTATATCTCTGCTGTATTGGTTTCCCATATGGGTAGATAACTTGCTGTTTGAGTGAACCATCAGACAACAAAGATCTTTGCGATAATATAATAATATTACTGGGATGAAATGAGAGATTTCTGACAACCGTTACAGAAACTGGCTTCCACAAGTTACTCATCACTCTTAACAAAGAACTCTTCCCACAACCGGTCTTCCCAGTAATTAAGATGTTTTGCCCGGCAATTATGTTAAGATTTAGATCTCTCACGAGAAGCTCGGACGACTTGGGCGCTGCATACGAAACCGCCTCAAGTTGATAGATACAACCAGACCGCAACACATCCAAAGATTCAGAGCAAGAATTGGTATCTTTGTCAACATGATTCTTTTCCTTTTTCATCAAGGTTTCTATTAACTCTCCTATCCTACGAGTAAAACCTGCTTTCTTTGATACAAGATAGGACAGATCAATCAACTTTTTATAACAGCGAATCAAATAAATTGACACAAACGAATTTTTGCTTATTGCAGCACTAAGAGCCGTTGGTGTCAAGCCATCATATTTTCCAGCAAAAAGAGCAATAGCGATGATTATGTAACTGAAAATGTAACCGAAATAATGAAAGCAATTGACGGAGAAGTTGAGGAAGAATTGATAGTTGAGCAACATTAGTTGGACATTTATTAAGTTTCGGAGTCTTTCGTTTGTCTCTTTTTCTTCAACCGTTCCTAACCCATAGAGGGCCAGAGCCTCTGAGTTCACTAGTACCTATTAAGACAACAAAAAATAGAGCTATGACGTAACATGCACCTGCACTATTGTGCATTCTGAAGAGTGGGAGGGACGTCTGATTTTATATACTCTAGCTTTCTATAGAGGTTTTGCAACACCACGTGACGGCAGCCATGTTAAATGGCAGGAGCAATACAGTCGTTTTACGTAAGAAAGGATTCAATTCGATTCCCGAGAGCAGAGTGATTTTATTGTTCTGCCATCTAACCACAGGAAGCCCAAGCAGTATTATGGGATGGCCACGTGATGGTGCAAAACCTTTATATTGTTGGGCTTAATGTTTTCCCATTTCAGACCCCGTGTCATTTTCTTTGCAATAATATTTTTTGTTTGAGTTGTATCCATATTCATGTGTCCTCTCGTTTGCAACTGTTAAACAAAGAATTGCTTACTATCAATCACGTGACTTTTTGGARTTGACTGGGGGGCAAACAAGCGGTTGACTGGGGGGCAACTAGCGGATGCTAAGTCAAAACATATCAAAATAAGTCCTCAAACTATTGTATTTGACTATTTTCACGACATCAAACCAGAAAACAAGAGACCAAAACAATCTCCAGGATTCTACAAGCCATCAAAAAAGAACTATTACCGGAAGACCGCAAGGCTGACACCAATCTTTAAAAAGGACGATGATACTGACTGTGGTAACTATCGGCCCGTCTCTTTACTTAGTGTCCCGAGTAAGATCTTGGAAAGTGAGGTTAACGACAGACTGGTGCAGCATGTCTTTAAGAACAATAATCTAATCTCAGAAAGGCAATG